CTGTCTCTAGCAGTCAGAACATTGTATCTAGCCTTGGATCATTTTTCTGTGAAAGATGGGGGCTACGTCTGGACTGGCATGATTTTCCAGAAATGCTTTTAACAGAAAAGTTTTCCGTTAAAAGCATTTTCGGAAGAGAGCGTCTAGATTGGCACGGACGCTTTTCCGCAAAAGCACTTTTTGCAGATAAGCGTCAGTGACAATCTAGACGCGCTTTTGTGCAAAAAAGCCCCGTCGCCATTTTAGCCATCAGAGCTTTTTTGCGCAAAACAGTCCTATGCTGTCTACACTGGCCCTCTTGCGCAAATGATTTGTGCAAGAGGGCTTTTGCTGAAACGGGAGCAGCATAGTATTTCCGCAAGAAGCGCTGATTTCTTACATGAGATTGTCAGTGTTCTTGTGGAAATTCAAGCGGCCAGTGTAGACAGCTGGCAAGTTTTTCCACAAAAGCAGCTGATTTTGCACAAAAACTGGCCAGTCTAGACACAGCCCACAGGTAGAGGAGCTTCATAGGAGAGGGAGCTATCTGGTGCCACCTGCTGGTGAGATCGGAGAAATGACAGCATTGGCCAGGTCTCATTTGCATTTCAGTTGTGACACACGTCAATTGCATTTTGGTTAATATATGGTTGAATTTCAGTTTGGGGACAGTAAAATGTTACTTCCATTGTCAGGAAATGAACGACCAAGAGAAAGACCAAGAGAAATAAGCCTTCAGTGAGAGGTCACCCTGACTGTGAGCACATCTTGGCCTAGTTGGGTCCAATGCTTGGACAAAATGTAAGTGTGAAAAAGAGGCAGTGGATGGAGGTCCCTGTGTTTTGCTGAGAATGTCTTATTCATAATAAGGACACTCAGTGCAGGCTACCCTAAGGAGCAATCAAAGCTGAAATCCATTTGGCTGAGCATGGGAGGCCTTTCTAATATGCCCAGGCTGGTATATACAGTCTCCCATGTTCCTGAGTAGGGGGTGGAACCTGAGCAAGAAGGAACACCCATAAAAATTGAACCCAGAACCTGTGGTGGCTGACAATAGGCAGCAGAAGTGTTCTATTCCTATTGAACGTCACTGCGGTGGTGATTAACCACTGTGCTTCGTGTGCTCTTTGGCTCAAGTCAGAATTGGGTCTGGACAGTAGCTGGGCCAACGATGGATGTTTCTGGTTTGCTGGCCATTCCAAACATTCCAACAGGTAAATACACATGTTGGAAGTCGAACCAAAATGAAAAGTGTCAAACTTTTTAGCAAATTTTTAAAAAGTCTGAATTAATAAAAATGGATGGTTTGACCTGAAATGAAACTTGCATCATGGCTTTAAGCCTTTTTTTAGGGTTATCTCCCTTGCAGAAAAATGTCTCCCTGAACAGCTGTTGAATGACCAAAGCTGTACACATTGCAGAACATCGTCTCTGATACCATTTTTAACAGCTGATTTGAGATTAGTGCTCCTCTGATCTCTTCTCATGACAGCCCTGGGACCAAGCAAAACCTCTTTTCCTCAGAAACGTGGAATCCTCAGTGACATCTGCAATCAGCAGCTCAAGGAGGCTAATGGCATATCGGGGAGCATTAGGAGGAGCCTCGCTGGTAATTACTCCCCTTTATTTGACACTGGTGAGGCCACATCTGGAGTATTGCATTCGCTTCTGGGGTCCCCACTGCAGAAAGGACATGGATGCATTGGAGAGGGTCCAGCAGAAGGCGACCAAAATGATTCGGGGGCTGGAGCACATGACCTACAAAGGAGAAGCTGAAGGATTTGGGTTTATTTAGTCTGCAGAAGAGCAGTGAGGGGGGATTTGAGAGCAGCCTTCAATTCCCTACAGGAGGGTTCCAAAGAGGCTGGAGAGAGGCTGTTCTCAGTGGGGGCAGGTGACAGAACAAGGAGCAATGGGCTCAAGTTGCAGTGGGGGAGGTCTAGGTTGGATAGCAGGAAAAACGATTTCCCTAGGCGGGCGGGGAAGCCCTGGGCTGGGTTCCCTAGGGAGAGGGAGGAATCTCTGTTCCTAGAGGTGTCTCGGCTTGACCAAGCCCTGGCTGGGATGATGGAGTTGGGATTGGCAGCGAGCGAGCCGCCCCTTGAGCTGCAGGGCCCATGGCTACCACCTTGTTCACCTTGCCCTAGGGCCGGGCCTGGGCGTAAAGCCTTGGTGGGAAGAGAGCACACAGAGCCCCTAGCATGGGAGAAATAGGGGACCCATGTCATGGGGCAGGCGAGCGTGAGGTTTGGAGAGCCCCTGCCATAGGGGGTAGGAAAGAGGAGGACCAGGGAGGGGGCACACAAGGCGCTCGTGGGGGTCCAGTGAGCTCAGCCCACAGCAGCCCCAAGGTGTGATCCCTCCGTCAATGTTTTACAAGCACAAAGTCTCCTTGTGAGAATTGGGGGTGCCAGAGCAGCAGCCAGCAGGCCCCAGGGGGCAGGGGAGGGTGTGCCCAGGGGTGGCACCAGGGGGCGCCAGAGCAGCAGCCAGCAGGGCCCCAGGGGGCAGGGGAGGGTGTGCCCAGGGGTGGCACCAGGGGGCGCCAGAGCAGCAGCCAGCAGGGCCCCAGGGGGCAGGGGAGGGTGTTCCCAGGGGAGGCACCAGGGGGCGCCAGAGCAGCAGCCAGCAGGGCCCCAGGGGGCAGGGGAGGGTGTTCCCAGGGGAGGCACCAGGGGGCGCCAGAGCAGCAGCCAGCAGGGCCCCAGGGGGCAGGGGAGGGTGTTCCCAGGGGAGGCACCAGGGGGCGCCAGAGCAGCAGCCAGCAGGGCCCCAGGGGGCAGGGGAGGGTGTTCCCAGGGGAGGCACCAGGGGGCGCCAGAGCAGCAGCCAGCAGGGCCCCAGGGGGCAGGGGAGGGTGTTCCCAGGGGAGGCACCAGGGGGCGCCAGAGCAGCAGCCAGCAGGGCCCCAGGGGGCAGGGGAGGGTGTTCCCAGGGGAGGCACCAGGGGGCGCCAGAGCAGCAGCCAGCAGGGCCCCAGGGGGCAGGGGAGGGTGTTCCCAGGGGAGGCACCAGGGGGCGCCAGAGCAGCAGCCAGCAGGGCCCCAGGGGGCAGGGGAGGGTGTTCCCAGGGGAGGCACCAGGGGGCGCCAGAGCAGCAGCCAGCAGGGCCCCAGGGGGCAGGGGAGGGTGTTCCCAGGGGAGGCACCAGGGGGCGCCAGAGCAGCAGCCAGCAGGGCCCCAGGGGGCAGGGGAGGGTGTTCCCAGGGGAGGCACCAGGGGGCGCCAGCTTGTGCCGGCAGAACTGGGCCTGGTTTAGTCAAAAGTTGCTTTTACTCTCTGGGCCTGGGGGGCTGTTTTGGGGCTTGTTTCTCTGGAGGTCTCTTTTTTTCCTACCAGGGGCCGAACCGGCGCCAGTGCAGACGCCCGTCACTAGAACATGAGACGCCCCCGACCCCCACTCCCAGCCCATGAAGAAAACATCCAGAAGGTCCCGTCCTGCCCATTCGACACCTGCTATGGACCAATTCCTTGTCCTGCGTCGGTCTCAAGGCCAGAGAGCCTGCCAGTGGGTGGGGATCCGAGGGGGACCTTTTCGAACAATAACTAAAATAAAACAATGCCAGTGCCCACGTTGATTAGCGTGATGGTTTCGGTGCAAGTGAAAGGTGCAGGCAGCAAATGGAAAGTGTCCATCCGTTTGAGAGAGGGGTGGGAAATGTGGAGCTGCTGGATTTTCTCGAGAGCCTTGGAAACACCAGCGCAGCAAGCACGTGGGGCTAGAGGGTTGGGGGGGTGCGTCTTGTGTTCCCTCCACCTAGCCCCTCGCAGGCACGTACTCCTGGCAGTCGTTCCCACGCAGGTTGGGCCCGCACTCCAGCGAGTAGGAAATCCTCACCTGGCCGTATTCAAGGTAGCAGGGCAACGGAATGTCCCGATTAGTCTCCAGGTCAGTATTGCAAGATCCCAGAGAGTGGTCCGTCCATGGCCAAGATTCGCTGTCCCACACCTCCACTGTCAGTTTGGGGGTCACCCGTGCCTCCAGCGTCACCGTCCCAAAGTCCAGCTCTGTGTCCCACACCGGGTCGTTACGGTTGTCAATGGTGTCCGTCTTCATATTTCTGTCTTGGAAGAAGACCTTGACATAGGCATCAGTCCCAGAGGCGGGATCCCCCTGCAGGCCTGTGCCCGACAGCACCTGGACCTTGAGCCGGGCCCGGCCCCGCTGCTTTGAGCAGCACCTGGAGTCAGCGAGCGGGTTCCCAGAGCAAGAGCATTTGCAGGGGTCCAAAGAGTCAAAGTTGCCACCTTTTGGGCAGTGACTGGGGCAATTCCTCTTCTGCCCCCGCTCAGCCACGTACTCCTTCACTGCCTGCCTCAGCGCCTCCTGCCGGGGGTCTCCCGGCCCCACCAGGGTGTGGATGGGCTCCAGGGAGTAGGAGACCAGGCTGGGGCTGGCTTTGAGGCTCTCCAGCCAGGCTGTGAATGTCGTGGTGTTCTGGGTGGTGGAGAAGAGTTCCTGGGTGTGGCTGCTCCCCCCCGTCACCTCGACGCGCTTCTCCATGTAGGGCACCGGGGAGCTCAGGCTGCTCTGGCAGCTGGGCTTGTGTATGTGGGAACCCGAGGGCAATGGGTTCAATCCCAGGTCTTCCAAGAATTTGGAGCCCAGATTCTCCCTGATTTCAGCGTCTGTCAGCCCGTCCAGCACTGCCCGGCAGGTCGGGATGGCTGTCAGGTGCCGCACGCGCCCACCCAGTGCTGCCAGGCTCAGATAGTGGGTGCCGTACGTGGCCAGGAAGGACCGGTACGTGTCAGGTTTGTAGCTCGGTGGAAGGCGGCGCAGGGCCTGGGAGAACTGTGGTGTCAGCTGGGGGTCATGTGCGAGTTTAAATCTGCCCAGAAGGGAAAGAAAGAGGAGTGATGAGCCAACTATGGTCCCCTGCTCCTTTCCCAGGGAACCTGGCCCCACTGCCTTAGGGCCAACTCTGTGGCTTTCCTGAGGGGAACCCAGGAAGTGACACTCTCCCTTGTACTCAGTGCTGCCCCAATGGCGCTGTGGAGGGACTAGTAATCAAAACAGAATGACCAGGCCCAGAAAGAGCTGCTTTCCTACAGGGAGAGGGGCAGGAACCCAGCAAGGGGGGCTGTGTTGCAGGGAGGGGTGTGGGGTCCCAGAAGGGGCACTGTGCTGCAGGGAGCAGGGTGGGGGCCCAGCAGGGGGCGCTGTGCTGCAGGGAGCAGGGCGGGGGCCCAGCAGGGGGCGCTGTGCTGCAGGGAGCAGGGC